TCCCATTAAACATTACAATATAGCATTATTAGTTATCAAATTTGAAACTTAGAGAAATGCTACTCAACAGTGATAAAATACAAACTTGTAGATGATTTGAAGGACTGTAAGAAAAAAGCTAAGGTTTGTGTAGCTGTTTGGAAAGCATTAAAATGTTAAAAAAGGACTACTTGATCAATTTGATTACAGAATTAATATGTTCAGAAAACTATCTGGTGATGGACATGTGTATAAAATATGTATAAAATATTTAATTATTTTATAGAATTTTGAAAAAAAAAGGTTGTTAGTCAGTGTGTGAGCAAACTTTTTTCAAGACAGGGTTTCCCGTGTAGCCTTGGATGCCTTGGACTCACTTTGTAGAGCAGGCTGGCCAGAGTGCTGGGATTACCACTATGCACCACCATGCACAGCTGCTGGGCAATCTTTTTTGCTTTTGTTTATTTTTAATAATTTTTATTTTTAATATTAATCACAGGTTATTTACTTTGTATCCCAGCCATAGCCCCATCCCTCATTCCCTTCCAATCCCACTCTCCTTCTCTCATGTCCTTCCTGCCCCTTTCCAGGTCCTCCTCCCCTTCATTCTGACCTTAGCTTATCAGGTATCTTCAGGACTGGCTGCAATGTCCTCCTCTGTGGCCTAGAAAGGCTGCTCTTCTCCCGGGGGGTGGGGAGAGGTCAAAGAGCCAGCCATTGAATTCTTTTCAAAAAATAGTCCCTGTTCCCCTTACTAGAGTACCCACTTGGCTACTGAGCTACCATTGGCTATGTCCGAGCAGGGGTTCTAGGTTATATCTATATATGGTCCTTGGTTGGAGAAACAGTCTCATAAAAGACCCCTGTGTCACACATCGATCCCAACACTTTAATAGTGGGAGACTTCAACACCCCACTCTCATCAAGGGACAGATCAACTAGACAGAAGCCAAATAGGGAAATTAAAGCCACTTAGAGGCCCTAATTCAAATGGACCTAACAGATGTCTATAGTTTGTCTTTTCACCCAAACTCAAAAGAATATACCTTCTTTTCAGCATCTCTTGAAACCTTCTCCAAAACAGCCATACAGTTGGTCACAAAACAATCATCAACAGATACAGAAAGATTGAAAAAATCCCCTGTATTCTATCTGACCACCATGGACTAAAGCTGGACCTCAACAACAATGGAATTAGAAAAAAGCCTTCACACACATGGAAACTGAACAATTTGCTACTCAATGACAGCTGGGTTAAGGAAGAAATAAAGAAAGAAATTAAAGACTTTCTAGAATTTAATGAAAATGAAGGTACAACATACCCAAATTTATGGGACACAATGAAAGCAGTGTTTAGAGGAAAATTCATAGTACTAAGTGCCTTCAAGAAGAAATTTGTAATATCTCATACAAGCAACTCAATGGCCCAACTGAAAAAAAAGAAGCAGAAACACCCAAGAGGAGCAGATGGCTGGAAATAATCAAAATCAGGGCTGAAATCAATCAATTAGAAACAAATAAATCTATTCAAAGAATCAATGAAACCAAGATCTGGTTCTTTGAGAAAATCAACAAGATCGACAAACCCTTAGTCAAACTAACTAAAAGACATAGAAAAACTATCCAAATCAACAAAATCAGAAATGAAAAGGGGACATAACTACAGACACTGAGGAAATCCAAACAGTCATTGGGTCATACTACAAAAGCCTATACGCCACAAAATTTGAAAATCTGAAAGAAATGGCATTTTTATTGATAAAGTCCATCTAACAAAATTAAGCCATCTACCAAAATTAAGTCAGATAGAAAGATCAAATAGCCCTATATCCCCCAAGGAAATTGAAGCAGTCATCAACAGTCTCCCTTCCTAAAAAAGCCCTGGGCCAGATGGTTTCAGCCCAGAATTCTACCAGACCTTCAAAGAAGTGCTAACTCCAATTCTCCTCATCAAAACGACCCTGAGATTTCACCTTACACCCATCAGAATGGCCAAGATAAAAAACTCAAGTGACAACACATGCTGAAGAGGTTGTGGTGAAAGGGGAACCCTCCTCCATTGCTGGTGGGAATGTAAACTGGTACAACCACTTTGGAAGTCAATCTGGCGCTTTCTCATACAACTAGGAGTAGTGTTACCTCAAGACCTCGCTATACCACTCCTAGGTATATACCCAAAATTTGCTCAAGTACACAACAAGGACATTTGTTCAACCATGTTTGTAGCAGCTTTATTTGTAATAGCCAGAACTTGGAAGCAACCCAGAAGTCCATCAACGGAGGAATGGATACAGAAATTGTGGTATTTTTACACAATAGAATACTACTCAGCAATCAAAAAAGAGGAAATCATGAAATTTGCAGGCAAATGGTGGGATCTAGAAAAGATCATTCTGAGTGAAGTATCCCAGAAGGAGAAAGACAAACATGCTATATACTCGCTTATATATACCTACAAGATGTAATAAACATAATGAAATCTACACACCTAAAGAAGATAATCAAGAAAGTGGACACAGGCGAAGGTGATTAATCCTCATTTAGAAAGACAAATGGGATGTGCATTGAACTTATGACAGGAGTCTACCACAAAAGGCATCTGAAAGACTCTACCTAGCAGTGTTTCAAAGCAGACACTAAGACTCATAACCAAACCCTCAGCAGAGTGCAGGGAATAATGAGAGAAGGGGAGTTAGTATGATATGGAAAGGATAGGAGCTCTACAAGGACCAAATATATCTGGGCACAGGGTCTTTTCTGAGACTGACACTCAACCAAGGACCATCTATGGATATAACCTAGAACTTCTGCTCGAATGTGGCCCGTGGTAGCTCAGTAACCAAGTAGTTTTCCAAAGTAAGGGGAACAAGGACTATTTCTAACAGGATCTCAAGGGTAGGCTCTTTGACCTCCCCCCCCCCAGGGGAGGAGCAGTCCTGTTAGGCCACAGAGGAGGACTTTGCAGCCAGCCCTGAAGATACCTGATAAAACAGGGTCAAATGAAAGGGGAGGAGGTCCTCCCCTATCAGTGGACTTGGAAAGGGGCAGGGAAGAGACCAGGGAGGGAATGTGGGGTTGGGGAGGGAATAAGGGAGCAGGATACAACTGGGACACAGCGTTAACAAAATGTAACTAAGAAAAAAATAAATTAATTATAAAAAAAAACTATTCCAGAAGGAACATTACCAAACTCATTCTATGAAGCCACAGTCGCCTTGATACCTAAACCATGAAAAGACCCCCCCCCAAAAAAAAAAAAAGAGAACTTCAGACCTAAGCAATTTTTTAATCTTAACATAATTTTAAATTTTCTCTTTTTGGTCATAACACACCTCATCTGTGACTGGAAACATTATTATTCTATTTTGAATCGAATGTAAACTTATTAGTTCAACTCTTTCATGACACATGTTCTATTACACATACAAGGGTTATGTATATTTATTATATCTGTTTATTATATCTGCATATAAAAATTAACTTTTGCTAAAGATTTCATTTAAAGATGTAAAAATCTTTGTCGTACTTCTTAGATATTTGGAGCCTTATAAATATACTTAACTTGTAAGAACTGGAAATGTCTAAAGTACTGATTTCTAAAATTGAGCAATATGTTATCATTGACCTATTATATTGTGAATTTATACCCCCAAACAAGTAAATGGATCTCGTAATTTTTAGTTACATTTGTCAGTCATATGGAAACAATGATATCAAATATTTTGTGACAAAGTTGTACACTTTAACATTTATGACATGGTTTAACTAAGGTCTGAATGTAGTATTTCAAGAGCTTCTGAAGAAATGGATTATGGGTAACGAGAAAACCTGAAATGTTTGTTATGTAGATATTATTAAAGAATATAACACAGAAATAAAGGATAGAGAGTGTTATATAAATGTATAAACCTACCTATAAAATTCATGGACTGAAATATCAAAAGTAACTTGAACATGATTCCGTGTGTAACAGTTTACTGTAGTCACAGGATGCTGTATGGATACAATTAAATGTTAAGTCTGTGACAAAGCAGAGTTTAATACTCATTTGACAAAGTGAATATGTTTTGAGATATGTATAGAAAATTCCTGGTTTGGATAATATAAGTAATTCACCGACAAGTTTAATAAACATCTATTGAGTATGTCCTTTGTATTCAAGTCTTATGGTATAGGACAGTTAACATGCCTAGAGCATTTTGTTGAAAATTTATTCAAAACATCATAAAAATATGATCATTTCATATCTCATTATAGAATCCTTCTCTCAAAAGACAATTCATCACAATTTCAGAACATGAGAAACTATGGAGAAAAATACTGTTTTAAATATTTTTATCTACATAAGATACAAGAGTTAGAATAACTAAGCATGAACCCTTTGGTATTTCTTCAATTACATCATACTTGTGGCTATTTATTGTTGTTATTCAAGTATGTTTGCATTTTTCTTACCTTCAACCTAGAAAAGCAAATCTTCTTTACTGCAAATTAAAAGCAATGTTCAACATAAAAATTTTACAAACAAAATTAATATTTTCTCTAAGATCTTGATTTGGCAAAAGTAGCTGAGATTAAAATCACTTCAGTAGGAAACAATTGCTCTAGGTCTTATGGCTTTATATTCTGGTACAGAACACATTCAAATAAAAGAGGTTTTATCTTATAACTAAAATCTATAAATGTGTTGAGTTTGTATGAAGCTTACATTTATGGGCTTAAGAAAGGCCTCTGATGCATCATCTAAATTAAGCAAGTATTCCTAAGAGGCAATGATCAATAAGAGAAGGTTGCAATTTCAAAATACCTAAGGTGAGGAGGCACCTTTCACAGTAATATGATTACTCAGTTGGGCATTTTTACAAACCAAAGCAGAAGAAAACAGTTTTGTGAGAAGCAAGTTTGGATTGATGCTATGTTTTCCTTTGATAAAGTCAATGTATTGAAAAAATCTCTGCATCAAAGTAACTTTAAAGTTGTTCTAGGCTTAGAGACTACTAATTATTTCCATATTTTTTTAGAGACTCAAAGAACTGAAACAGAGAGAATTTGCTCGAAATGTAGCCTCTAAATCCAGGAAGGATGAGAGAAAACAGGAAAAGGCACTCCAGCGTCTTCACAGGCTGGCTGAGCTAAGGAAGGAAAGTGTGTGGTGAGTGAAGAATGACACGTTAACTTTTCTTAAAATACACCTCAGAACAGCAGCGGGCGTTAGAAAGAAAGGGCACAAATCTATTTATTCCAGCACATAGGAAAAGGCATATATGTTTTCATGGCTTTCTGCAGAAGTGAGGAGTAATTTGAATTTCATGCAAATACCTGTTTAATGCATGTTTCACTAAAACTCCCAAATTACTGTAATCTCAGCTTATAAATGCAAATTTCACATCAGTAGAGGCTTGTATCTAAGCCATCTTAATTGAAAGCTGTCCTGTTTCTTCATGAAATTCAAACCATTTGACTGAAGATGACTTTTGGCAAAACCTGTTTTTGAGATGATCTTATTTTATTTTTTAAAATGATAATTTGGAGAAAATTTCTTTGAAATTACTTCTAAATTTGAAAATCGAGGTCAGGAAGATACTGCCGCTTCAGAAGCAGCTGGAAATTAGTTTTGCTGCGAATAAACGATACTGGGCTCTTAGAAGTTCACAGCTCTTAAACTCTGACCCGCTTCTCACAGTTAGCAGCTCTGGGTGTGAACACTTACAATTCATCCTCACAAGCCCAGCCAGTGCAGGGGTATTAAAGGAAAATCACTTTGCAAAGTGCCCTTCTTTCTCTCCACAAATGAAGTCTCTCTTGTTACTGTCTATTACAAAGATCTCACACTAAATTAATTCATACGAAATACTGTTATGGAATATTTTGACTTAAAAACCTATTTAAGAATTTCAAGTTTAAATTTTAAAACAATATGAAGGATTTTTTTTTTTATCCTATGTGGAACTGTTCAAAGAAAGCGTTGCTCAGCTATAGCGATGAGATCTGTTTAATGGTGTGCCATTGGAGGCAGAGGTGATGGAAACCAAACCTGTAAAGAATCATGGGACTTAATGACCACACAATAGAATGTTTTAGAGATGGAACTGGCAACATAGCTTCTGAGATATTAACAAAGCTGTATTTATAAGATATAAGCACTGTGTCTAACACTTCCCTTTATTAAAACTTTCAATACACAGTCTTATTGTACAGACACAAAACATACACATAAATTCCCTATTAATCTTGTGCATAAGAAAATGGTAATGATATTTAGAAGCATGAGAGGGAAGATGGATGTACATTGTGTTAGTGATTTTTAAAGTCATCTGTAATATGTGGTTTTTTTAAATTCCTTAAAAATAAACTTTTAGAATGGAATGAAATTTAAGATAATCATTTTATAAAGGAAAAATTTGAAATTTAAGATAATCCTTATATAGAGGAAAAATTTGAAGACTTCTAGTATTATATACAAGCCAAATTGTTCTTTTAAGTCAAAATTCAGCATTTATAATATACTGCCAAATACAGATGGAATACAATTCATATTTTAGGTGAGTAATATTTCTGTGGCACAACATTTTATAACATAACTTACAACTTCAGAGTAATTGTAAATTGTGAACCTAGAAAGTCCAAAGGACTCCCATCTTTCTCTAGCTAAGGTAGCTGATACAAACCCTAGACTGGATAAAAACTGGCTAAAGCACCTCATTGAACCAAATTTTCAGTCTTTCTAAAACCTTAATTAAGATTTTGTCTTTGTTTTTTTTTTTTTTTGTTTTGTTTTTTTTACTTTTGCTTTTACATATTTGTATCTGTTTTATAGGATCAGTGGTTGAAAAATATCTCAGTTTTAAAGTAATTTTACTGTGGGGAATTTTATGATACTCCATGAAGAGGCTATTGGGGTAGAAAAAGTTAATTGGGAAGTTAAGTGTTTCAGCAATGATCTGAAAGCAAAAGAAGGTCCTGCATACTGTTGTTTAAAAATTTAAAAGAATTTCAAAAATAATTGAACTGTCTAAGACACAAGTCACTGAATCACTTTCTAAAATCTCTCACTGACTTGCATTTTCCACCCATTTTGTAGTGCTCCCGGCAGTGGCCCCATGTTCAGGTCCACGACTGTGACTGTGAGAGAAAATCCCAGTGACGTTTCCCCAAAGGAGACTGTAGAGCCAGCTCACAACCAGCGAGAACCGGTTCATCGTGCAGAGGGAGGGAAAGATGTTCCCGCATCCCCAGAGGACACGGAAAGTGCAAGTAACTGCACAGCAAATAGTTGCCAGCGTGGGGATCCCACCCAGGCTGTCCACAGACACAGAACCGGTTTCTCGTTTGTCTTTCCCAAGAAAGCCTCTGTGAAGCTGGAGTCCTCGGCAGCGGCCTTCTCCGAGAACAGCGACGAGTCTTCTGTGGAGAAATTCAGCAGGAAAACAAGATTTGTCCCCAGCTCTTGTCACCTTCAGCTTCCATCGCCAACATGTGAGCTTCTGAGTTCTGAGGAGAAAGCTCGCTCTTCTCATCCACCAGAGGCTGTGTGTGCCGACAAAGCAGCTGCTCAAACTGAAGAGATGAAAAAAGTCTCTAGTGAGAATAATACACTGTTAACTACTTCCTCTTGCCAACTTCAGCTCCCCGTATGTTCTGATGCAGATACTTGCCAAAATTCAGCACCATTTGAAGATCAAATATCAATGGCAGATGTCACTGTTAGTGAAGAGGTTCCTGTGAGTAACAGCCCCGATGTCATAGAAGGTCCCACGGTGCCTAATGACTGCACAGCACAGACTACCACAGAGGAAAAAGTTAAGATTAATGATGTGGCCAAAACGGAAACCAGAAATAAAACTGGTCATGAGCCGCTGGCACCTTCAAGTACTGCTGAGGAAAACATAAGGTTCCAAAAAAGACCAGATTCATGTAAAAGACAGTGTGACCCATTTGTACCTGTGCTTAACAAACTTGGTTCCACCGTGCTTCAGTGGCCGTCAGAGATGCTGGTTTATACAGCCACAGAGCCATCCATATCATATAGCTGTAATCCACTCTGTTTTGACTTCAAGTCCACTAAATTAAAAACCAATCAAGATAAAAACAAGCTAATGGTAAATGACCTTTCTCAACCGAAGGAGGAGGAGCTTTTCAAGGGATCTGATGCTGACTGCAATGATGTACCAGTCGGAGGAGGCACAAATGATGAAATTAGCAGCAGTACAAATGATCACTCTCAAGTTACAGCTCCTCCGGCCAGCCACATTTTGTCTAATAGTTGTGATTTAGGACAGAGTGAAAATGTCGGTCAGAGGTATAAAGGTATTTCCTGTATGAACAGAAAAACACATAATTTTGCTAGGAATCAAATTAAACGAGACACTCTAAATGAAAAGTACAACAAAATCAGGTTGAAGGAAACCCATGAACACTGGTTCCATAAGAGTAGAAGAAAGAAAAAAAGGAGGAAGTTCTGTCAAAATCATCATGGGGGCACAACCAAAGAGCCTGAAACTCACGGCAAAATGGAAAGCGACAGTCATTGCATCGGTGAGATCGGGAAGGGCCCACTGGGACCAGTTCCTGAGAGGCAGAGAAGGAGTCCAGAGCAGTTGCCAGACTTACATCTGCTATCTGATGCAAGGCCCAAAGCATTATCTGTACAGCTAAGGGAAAATGAAGAAATAAATGCAACATGGAACACTGAATCCAACAACGAGGCTATGGAATCTCAGAACCATGGAGGAAAAACTGCAATGTTTGTAAATGGACAAGCAAATCCACCAATGATACATTCTGAGAGGCAAAATTTAACACACGGCAGAACTCACTGTTGTTGGAAAGGCAGAACATCAAGCCGTCGAGGGGATGACAGGTGTTCTGTTTCTCAAAGTGATGCGAAAGGCCCCAGTCAGAATCAGCCTGTCAAGAGAGGTTACAATGCTCTCACAAATGAAGCAGAGAGATTTCACAGGAAACGCAGACAACATTCGTGTTCTTACTCATCAGACGAGAGCTTAAACCAACACAATCATTTAACAGAAGAATATTTGAGACCCCCAAATGCTTCAGTCCCTTCCTGTCAGCCTAAGAAGAAACGAAGGAGAAAAAGAAGTAGATTCCACGTTGGGGGAAGAACTTGGAAAATCAAAGACAGTTCAGACTATCTCATGAGGCCCAGTTCTTCTCTGCGTCACCGAGCTGGATTAGTGAAGGAAGACAGAAAGGAGGAAGTAAAACCACAAGAAAATGTAAGTATTGGGGAGTCCTCAGAACAAACACAGACAGCAGACGTCCAAGGGCCGCTCCATCCCTGCAGTGCGCTTCCTCCGGAAGCCAGCGGCCCAGGCCAGCAGTCGGCAAAGGAGACCACGCCACGTGACCTTCCGCAGGCTTCCGGTGGCCGCACTCCATCCGCGCGTGTGGCAAGGCCCCCGTCCAAGGACACCAGCGACGGCACCTTGCTCGAGCCCAGTCAAAGAAGTCGGACCACGGGCGGCGATGGTGATGCCAAGCGAGTTCCTTTCAAGGTGCCTAACGCAGAGAGAAACTTGCGAAACTCGCAGCCCAAGTCGCAGGTTTGCCGCTCGGGGCTGGCCGAGGGCGGCCCGCCGGGAAGGACGGAGGCCGCGGCCGAGTGGCTGTGCTGCAGTTCGGGCCTCCTCCGCCCGCCCCCGCCGCCCTTCAAGGAGGCCCAGGCCGGCGGCCACACCTTCGTGACCGCCGAGCGAATCCTGGCGCCGCTGGCCCTGCCGGAGCCCGCGCTGTTCATCCCGCTGGAGAACCGCGACAGGCTGAAGCCTCCGCCCTGCGAGGTCTACCAGCACCTCCTTCCGCCGAACGTGCTGGCCAACAAGGTCGCCGTCCCCTTCCCCCCGGCCCCGCCGCCGCCGCCGCCCCTCTGCTCTACCTCGGTGGCCACCGTCCACCACACCGTCCTGCAGCACCGCGCCGCGGCCGCCGCCGCCGCCGCCGCCGCCGCCGCCGCCGCCGCGGGGACGTTCAGAGCGCTCCAGCCGCACCAGCAGCTCCTGCCCCAAGGCCCTGCCCTCGCCAGAACAGCCGTACCTCAGCTCCCCGTAGGAGCCGTCGGGCCTCGGCTGTGCCCCGGCGCGCAGCCCGCGCTGCTGGCTGCTCCGCAGGGGCCAGTCATCCCCGCCTCCGTCCTTCAGCCCAGCCACCTGGCCTTCCCGCCCCTGCCCCACGCGCTCTTCCCTTCATTGCTCTCACCACACCCCACCGTCATTCCCCTCCAGCCCCTCTTCTAGCCTCCACCGCAAAGGGGAAAGAGCACAGGTGTTTACCTACACGCGTGCGCAACTGGCTGCGTAACTGACAGAACAGACTGGCCGAAGCTGCCCTTACTGATTTCAGACCATTTACCGTACGTGTAACGATGCTAATAAATTATCAAAGTTTCTGATACATAATATTACTAAAGCACTGAATAGTTTGAGGATCACTACAATATATGCTGTATATTGAAATGATGTCTTAAGAGTATGTATAATGTACATAAAATATATTTATGGTACTGTAACTTACGTTGTAAAGTATGCTCCTTGTTTTTTCTAATCTTTGTGTATTTGCACCTATTTAATGTTTAGACAAAGCGGATGACCCTATTTGTTTTGTACCACGTTCCTTGAAACTGCAAATTCAGTGAAATATATCTCTTGCAATAAATTTTTGTTAATTATTTAAGTAAATCAAACTTTGGTGTTTAGGTGGTCTTCACTGATTTAGAAATATTGGATATTTTCTCTTCGTGATTTTTTTTTTTTTTCTGCCCAGTGGTTTCACTGAATTACCAAGAACCGAGAATCTTCAGTGTTTTATCACACTTAAATGTTGCCATCAATCACAGGAAGTGTAATAGCATATTTGTTAGGACTCCACTTCTTATAACATCACTTATATTGAGAATTTACTGCATTTCTTGGCCATGGATTTACACAATGGCCACGGGAATTTATATTTAAGCAACTTTAGGATTTGAAAGGGCAGTAGTCTAAAAATCCTGCAGAATATATACTATCCCCCATAGAAATACTAAAACACAAATGTCAACTAAGTAATATAAGTGTGTTCATAAAATTTTTGAATGTTAAAATTTTAAAAATTATTACAATAATTTTCAAGTCCTACATGAAACATAAATGAAAATAGTGACATAAATGAAAAAAAATAATTTTAATTTTAATAAGTCACTATTAAATGACAATCTGAGATCAACCACAGAAACATTGTCTGTGGCTTCATATATTCTTGAGAATATCAAGGTGGAAAAAAAATCAATAGCTGTTCCTTTAGTAATCCTTTTGTAGCATCTTTCCAAATCAGGCAGCAACAACTGCAGACATTTTCCTGATTAGCTTTCCAGATTCTGCGTTATTTGTAATTATCTCAGTGTTACACTTTACCCAAACATTGATGAATAATAAAACATGCGAATGCTTAATGGAAAGCCATGGAAGAAGACAACTTCCTCAAGCAAGTTTCCTAGCTGTGTCTGCTCCAGTGAAGGCCTGCTGCTAAGAAGTCTTCATTTTAGTCAGGGTGGGTTCACCTCATTAGACACAAATGTTAGGATTCTTGTTATATCAGAGGACACAACAGACTTCAACTTCTCTGTGATTCTGTTCTGAAAACTAGATCTGCCGTATCATAAAAACCAATATTGAGTTTTATTTTTAACTAAGAGCCAAAGAAGAAAGTTAGGACAGTTATTTTCACTAATTGATGTTGATGCTCTCCTTAAAAATGCTCTCCTTAAAAATGTGCCAATTTATGATTGAAAAATAAGTAGATAATAATAAGATAGAAGTAATTTTATTTCAAATGCCTTAAGATATTATGTCCCCAAAATGGGAACTTAAATTGAAAGAGATAATTTTTTTTTCCAAGTAAAACATTAGAAAATATGTTTAAAGACAAAGTAGATGAAGATGTCTCCTGGAAAATGCTGACCCAGACTGGCCTTCATTTAACAGAAGAAGATTGCTGCTTATGTGGCCCCAAACTCAACCTGACTGTCTGACTTTACCAAACGCACCTTGCTTTCCATCACACTATGTCCACTCTCCAGCTTGCTACTTACCTACTCGTTTACCTCCTTTAATTCCCATTCCCGGAGCGTTTCTCTGCCGCTCTTCTTTCATGTCATCACTTCTGTTTTCATTTACAAATGATGTGGTCCTCTAGCTGTTTAAACTGTTGTTGTCAAGTCATGTGGTTAGCTACACTGGCTTAACTTTAAATGATACTAACTGTATAGTTTGCCACTAGCACATGGCAGGAGTTTCTAGTATGTAGGAGGGAGAGAGTTTTATGTAAGATGGGTGGAAATTGAACTCGACATCTAAGTTGTTAGGTTGTCATGGATACAGATAGTTCAACAGGAGACCTGAGCTTCAGTTAAGTACTATCAAAGCATCATCCTTATTATAACTTCATCTCTATATTTCATACTGTTCTAAGAAATTATTTACATTTTCTTCTCATCCATTATGTGTTAGAGATATGAATTTATAAGGAGACACTTGTTCATCTATTCTGACAACACTCACCCTACAGTGAAGTGACTCGAATCAACTGGTGAAGAGCGACAATGAATGGGAAACGGTACAGAAGTCAGGAAGCGTCATCAAGCAGTGGGCCACCGGACTCTGAAAGTTTAGAATTCCAGGAATAGAGAAGGACTCATGTCAGTGCAGTGACCATCCACACTCTGAGAGCAGCGTGGGTTACTTCCTGGCGCTTTTTCTGAACATTACCTTCTAAAGCTGGAACGTAATTCTTTTCAGACATGCATCGTTGTGACTCCAATCTACTGTCTGTTAGTTACCGATATCACTATACCACGTGTGGCAACCACGACGAGACAAGTAACTTCACGGTGAAACATGAATAGGAAATATAGGAAATGCAATTATACTCAGCTAACAGAAGGTTTTACAGGGCAGAGGAGATGTCCCAGATACAAGCCCATGAAACAAGGGTAAGAGCCGATGCAGGAGAAAGGATGCAGGCGAAAAGGCACAACGACCTGTACTTCCGTAACCCTGACGGGTGGAGACGTGGAGATCACTGAGCGCTGGCCAGCAAGTCTATGCAAAACTATGCCTTCCACCTTCAGTGAGGCATCCCAGATGCCTGGAGGAGCAAGGCCGGGAGAGGCAGAATAGGACCCCTGTCAGGTCGCTCTTGCCTTTGCAAATGTATGCATGGTACATGGACCCACATACTTGTGGAAACACCACATTCACATACGGTATACACATTCATAACAAACACAGATAAATAAAAGAGGTTAAAATAAGAACTGACGTCCATTGATTAATTGGAAAAAAAATAAAAATTGGAGACTTTAACTTTATGCTTGGCAAACAAAAGTCCTTTATTTGGTGGTGGACAACTTAGAATGAATTAAACACAGGGCATCTCAGTCTGGCTATCTGACAAAAATTTTTAGCTCAAAACAATTACTTTTCCTTATAAGTACCAGTGAAACCTGCTTTTTGGTCTTATGATTATGAGCTCTATGAATGACAAAATACTAAATTATGTTGCTAAAGCAAAGTCATCTTCAAAGGTAGCTTCTCCTGCTGCACTTTAAAAATGCAACATTACATTTAAATTCATTTTCTAGTCTGTTATTTTCAATATAAACACTAAAAGCCTTTACATGTCATGTGAAGAAATTTCTCCAATGAAGAACATGTTAACAACCATCTATTATAACAATCTTTAAGGTCAATTATCCTTTTTGACACAACTACAGTCCTCTTTTAGCTTGTCTGGGCATGATCAGTAAGCCTGCAAAGGTTTTGTTCCTACATGTACCATCATTTAACTAACCAGGCATGAGCCAATATTCAATGATAATGTCATTTTTGTTGAGAAATTCTTCTTTAGGTTACCTCTTCCTCATGTAAAAGAACTTTCTCCATTCTATTTTCGTGTAGCATGCAGAGAATCTTTATTTTCACAGATGTTTTCTCTGCTGTAGATACTGCCTGGTTTACCCAATCATTTAGGACACAGTCTTTCTCGGACAGTGTGGTATATGCTGCACAGTTAACCACACCATAAAAATCAATGATGGGGAATAAAACCTGAATGAAAAATATCTCTTAATCCTATATAGGATGTATTGTACAATTCTAGGCTTCTATACATTTTTACTCCAGCCTTCTCTTTAATCAATTGTAGCTCAATATTTTTAGAAGACATAATTATTCATGAAGAACATGTTCTAGGGAAATTATTTATCAAATAATTGAATTCCAAAGTTGAAAAAAAAATCAAATCTTTGTGCTAAGCCCTTACCTCTTTCCCTGAAGCCCAACTTCCCAGCATCTTCTCCAGCTCTGCATCTTTATCTTCTGGCCTTCAAAGGAGTTGTCCAATCATCTAACCTACTGTCCTTGCAACTTTCTGTTAGACTTTGAAGCTGAATAACAATATATTATGTTCCAGACACAAAGCTAACTTTTACTGCTGGTGGAATGAATAAAACACAAGTGTTATTCATGTTATTAAAATGTCTGTGGCTAATAATAAGGGGAGCACGACTCAAATGTTATATTTATGCATCCAATGTTAGCTGTTTCATTATTAATCAGTTGAACAGAATGAAGTCATACCCACCTATGCCTTTCACTCACTGTCTTTTGTTCTCCTTCCTAATTCTTTTATGTTTGTTTTTTCTTCTCCTTCTAAGAAAGATTGTTTAGCTAATCCACACTCTCTTGAGCGTTCTTGGAAATGAAGTTTCTTCCAAGGAGCTTCCTACGTGGTTCATTGCTTTGGCTCACAAATATAAGTAGATAAAAGTGTATGGTGTGCCAATGTGAGGAGAGCCCCAAGATCCCACTTTAAGGACAGAAATGGAGATATTACCATATGACTGCAAAGTACTAGAATTCATTTCGTCTTGTGGGCAGCAAACACAAGCATTCACATCTTAATCAAGTTCCACAGCTGCGGGCAAAACCACAGTGATCATCTATGTCCTTATCTGTTTGTCTCTTTATCTCTCACCTTTTAAGATAGTTTTTATGACTGGAATTTTCTATTTTAAATTTATTATTTATTTATTACAATTTATTCACTTTGTATCCCAGCTGTAGCCCTCTCCCTCGTCCCCTCCCAATCCCACTCACTCTCCCTCTTCTCCCTGCCCCTCCCCAAGTCCACTGATAGGGGAGGTCCTCCTCCCCTTCCATGTGACTCTAGCCTATCAGCTATCTTCAGAACTGGCTGCATCATCTTTCTCTGTGGCTTGGTAAGGCTGCTCTTCTCTCCTTAGAGGGAGGGAACCAAAGAACCAGCCACTGAGTTCATGTCAGAGACAGCCCCTGTTCCCCTAACTAGGACACCACTTGGACACTGAGCTGAGCTCACCTGTGGGCTACATCTGTGCAGAGGTTCTAGGTTATCTCCATGAATGGTCCTTGGTTGGAGTATCATTCTCAGCAAAGACCCCTGTACCCAGATTTTTTGGTTCTGTATCTTCATATGCTTATACTGTGAATAAACACACATCTTAAAAATGTATCTAGTCTTTTCCGTTGTAAAATTCTATTTTTACCGGTAACATGTTAACTTTTTATGTAAACTGCTTCCTTACACAATTCATTGTTGTTTTCTACATCTTTGCTGTCTTCACATTC